AACCATTTAAAATTACAACAGTGCTGAACAAGGGGGACTTATGACAGGTCCTCATAATTGCGGCCATTCCGGCATCTCTTCAGTAACATGATCATGATTCAGGCACTTGGCAACCAGCTCATAATTACAATGTTGCAGCATCCTGTGGTCATGGGATCACCATTTGCGACCTCCTGCTGACTTCCTCATTGACTTTGCTTGAAGGTCGCAAATGGTGATCCCGTGACCACAGGATGCTGCAACATTGTAATTATGAGCTGGTTGCCAAGTGCCTGAATCATGATCATGTTACTGAAGAGATGCCGGAATGGCCGCAATTATGAGGACCTGTCATAAGTCCCCCTTGTTCAGCACTGTTGTAATTTTAAATGGTTGCTGAACAAGTGGTCATTCAACAAGGACTACCTGTATAACATTTGGACTTTTTAATTTTATAAAATAGAAAAGAGATCATAGAAGTTTATGAAGTGTGTATAGTATGCAGAGAGCATATACTCTACAGATGATTTGTCTCTCTAAATAGTTGAACTCAGGATCATCTCTTGAAATTTATGGCCATAATGTTCAGGACAGAAAATACTTTATATAACAAATAATTTGCAAAATGTGCTGACTCAAGTTAGAGAGGTTTTATCTAACTTTAATGATTTTATATGAAAAAATCAGAAAATCTGTGGAGGAAGATATGTTTATCAGACAATTACAATTCATTATCGCAACATGAAACTTCTAGATATAGAGACACAACATCAGCAAAAACAAGAAATGATTATTGCCTATGCTTAGAAGAGGAATCTGGTTGCCATTTTGAGAAATGGGATGCTCAACCAGATGCTCTGGTGTCACTAAATCAGGACAATACATCCTAAATTTAACAGAATACATTATGAAATAAGATTATGGGGAGAAATACTGCTGTAAAGATAATTAATGCTTCCTGACAAAAGAATCTAAACTGTGAGCAAGTAGATTCTCAGATCTTTGTTTGTTCATGCATTTACTATATGTTTTAGATTTAGAGCTATTCAGTATTTGACATATTGAAATGATGAAAAAATTTAAGCACACACCTTTGTTCTTGATTGAACATGCTCTTTGCAAATGAGGCATTTCTTGACTCTTGGTGAACAGAGGGAACAAGTAGCAATGTGCCCACATGGGCCAAATAGAGTATCTCTCTTCATATCAGAACATACCATGCATTCTTCTAAGGTTTCTGAATCATTGCTGATCATAGAAGGACTTCGGGAACCAACCTGTCCACTAAACACAAGCCTACATTCAGACATTTATGTATGCATTGAATATAATATCCAAAATTAGGGGCTTTATTAACATTTGTAATTATTTGTGTGCACTATAAATTTAGGAAAACAACCATATGACCCTTCTTGACAATCTTACAGAAAGCATTTTAGAAGGTGATTATCTTCTAAGCACATCTTGAGTGAAGTCAGTAGGGCTTTACATCTCACTTGCAAACTAAGTTGTGACCACCACCTGGCTCACTTAAAACAAGCAAATCACTCTGAAGACACAGTAGATATGTACAGAAAACTATATAGTCTCTATACAACATCCTTGACTTGGTTAGAGAAATAAATCATTTTCTGAGTTCCAATAACATAGTTAATCATAACTAACCAGAGACAACGTGCTAAGGCATAAAAGCCTAACCCAGGTTCAAACTAATTAAGCTTAGTATGTTCTATGAATAAAGCTGCTAGTTCTTTAACCCAACCAGTATAAAAACAAAAATAAAAGCTTAAGAGTATAATGAACAAAATATGATTTTTTTTAAAAAAAGGAACAATTCAGTGCTGATCATTGACCAAATAAAGATTGATATATAAATATAGCAGAACTGGCCAATGGAAATTTTTACCATTTAATTTATACACCAACCTCTAATGAGCTAAAATTAAT